CGGGCACGATGTGACGGACAGCACGCTCACCAACCACTTGAAGGAGGCAACCGCACCCGACATGCTGCAGAGTATCCTCCCGAGCTTTGCAAGGAAATCATAGATGGTTTTATCGACTCGGTTGATGCCCAACATTGCCGTACAGCCTTCCCCGCAGAAGCAGTGGCCGAGGACAGCGACAACGAGGACGACCACGACCTGTTCGACGCCATCTACGACGAGAACGACTACGGCACGGCCAACCACACCGGAGGCATCGAGCAGCGACGACGTGAAGAAGGACAAGAGATGGCCCAGGAAGAGGAGCGCCCACCGGTCAACGAGCACGAGGAGAGCGAAAGCCTACGGGCACGTCGACGAGCATGGCGGCAGCTTCCCTATGAAACGAGGGTGGCGCTGAGACGGCTCCATCACATGACGGGGCACTCACCGCCGGCCGCCATGCAGAGGCTGCTACGCACCGCTGGGGCAGACAAGCAGGCCATCATGGGTCTCTGCGAAGCACAGGCCAAGCCAAAACCGGCGCCAGCGGTGAAGATGCCGGGAAACTACAAGTTCAATGAGGAAGTCAGCGTCGACGTGTTCATTGTCAAGGACATAACCGGAGCTTGCTTCAAGGTGATGTCACTCGTGGACACCGGCACGCTTTTCCATGTCGCCGCGGTCGTGGGTGAAGGACAAGGACCACCTGCATCATCAGAGTGCGCCAGTGTCTTCCGAAGAGCCTGGCTGAACTGGGCAGGGACACCCACCACCGTGGTCATGGATAGAGGATCTGAGAACAAGGGACGCTTCAGGTCCACACTGAGCGAAGCCGGTATACTCCTTAGGTATACGGGCACCGAGGCACCTCACCAACTTGGGCGAGGAGAACGACAAGGAGGCATCCTCAAGGACATAGTCAAGGCCAGCATACAAAGTCGACAACTTCGAGGCCGAAACGACATCGAGACGCTGGTCATCGAGGCGGCGACGATAAAGAACAACAGGCTCAACAACAATGGGTTCACGCCGTCTCAGTGGGTACTTGGGAGGCTTCCCGAAGAGCTCGACAGCGTGCTACGCTCGAACCCACGAGATCAGCTCGGCTTACACCAAGACATCGTCGACGGCCAGACCGAAATTGCCAAGCAGATGATCATCCGACAAGCCGCCCGTGAAGCATACGCCAAACTGGACAGCTCGCAACGAGTACGCGCACCGACTAGAGGTCCTTTCGTGAGTGGAGACCTCGTCTGCTTCCACAGGAAGCAGGGCAGCTCGCCTTACGGCAAGTGGCACGGACCGGCAAGGGTGATAGGCCAAGAAGGACGCTCGACACTCTGGCTACTTCGCGGAGGCGTACCTCTGACTGTTTCCGCTGAGGCATGCCGACGCGCAACTGGCGACGAGGCACTCGCCAAGCGACAGCTCGAACTCCGACCAAGCCGGAAGAGGAGACGCGAGGAGGCCGAGCAGGAGGACGACGACCTCGACTACCCGTACGGAGACGACTTGGTTCGAGTGGCGGCAAGCGACGAGCAGAGAAACTACTTCGACGACCAAGCGGACGGAGTGCATGGCGGCCACGAAGCGCCCATCCTCTCGGCACCACCTGGACTACCAGCCCCTGCACCAACACAAGCTGCTGGTGGATTACCTCCCATAACCGAAGATCCGAACGAGATGCCAGAGGAAGACCATCTAGCCGTACCCGTTCCGGCGGATGATTTCGACGTGCAAGTCTCCGGCTCTGTGGCGGAGCCCGAGCAGGAGATGCCAATTGAGACCCAGGAGGTGGCAACGAACGAGAACGCAACAACTACGTCAACGCCTTCTTCCTTGCCTACCGCCTTGGCACCGACACCTACACCCACAGCCTTGCAGCAAGCCATGTACCGCTCCATTGGCAATTTGGATGGACACAGCATGAGAGCCTCACGCCCTGGACCTTACGTATGACCACCTGCGAACGAGGACGACGCCGAGAGACCAGAAGGAGAAGCAGTGCTCGGAGGAGGACAGAGAGCTTTCGCATCCTTCTTGGCACGGCGCACGGTCAACAAGAAGAGTGCGGCGGCGCGGTCCAAGGAACTCAACTTCAAGACGGCCACCGGAGAGGACAAGATTGGCATAACCAAAGCGCGAAGCCAGGAGTGGAAGAACTGGACCGGCTTCGATGCAGTGGATGTGTTGAATCCCAACGAGGCAGCAGCTTTCCTGAAGGCGAATCCGGAGATCAAGCCGGTGCCCACCCGTTGGGTCGACACCAACAAAGCTCAGCCGTGGGAGCCCAAGAAGTACAAGGCGAGGATCGTTGTCAGAGGGGACCTTGAAAAGGACGGCGGAACCAGGACCGACTCCCCTACGTGTAGCAACACAATGCTCAACATGACAGTCTCCTTGGCTGCGTGCAAGCGTTGGAAACTGCACGGAGGCGACATCACAGCCTCTTTCCTGCAGGGAGAAGAAATCTCCAGGACTCTTGTGCTCCAGCTACCTGCTGATGGCATTGAAGGCGTCGCCCCCGGCTCCATCATGATTGCCAAGAAGCCAGTTTATGGCACACGTGACGCACCAAGAGGCTTCTGGCGACGACTCCACCGGGTGCTTCTACAGAAAGGCCTACAGGCAGTCCGAGGAGAGAACGCCTGCTACGTGCTCGTGGACAAGGACAGCACGCTGCGTGGAATGGTCATCAGCCATGTAGATGATCTACTCTGGACAGGAGACGGTGAGATGGACCGCATCATGGCCGAGGTTCAGTCCGAGTTCAAGTTTGGTGCACTGACCGACGAAGAGGTCATTGAGTATTGCGGCCGCATCATCACCCAGGGCCAGGATGGGATCCACATCAAGTGCCCGAACACCGCTTCGAAGACAAGGCCTATCTGGATCACGAGCGATCGCAAGGCCCACCGCGGAAGCCCTGTTACAGAAGTTGAACGCAGCCAACTGCGAAGTGTCATCGGAAGCCTGAGCTGGGTGACGCGCGTCTGCAGACCAGACATAGCCTATCAAGTTCACAAGCTACAGACGAAGATGACTGTGGCAGTTGTGGACGACCTCCTTTGCGCCAACAACTTGCTGAAGTTTGTCAAGGAGTCTCCCAACAAGGGTCTGTTCTTCGCCTACGGAGCTTTCGACTTTGACAAGGCCAAGATCCTCAGCTTCACGGACGCTTCGCATGCCGCGGACTTCGACAACAGCAAGAACGGCAAGCTCATGGGCTACCGCTCCCAGTCAGGACGTATCCTGGCTCTAGGCGGCAAGGACTTCGTCAGGACCGGCAAGGGCAAGATCCACATCCTCGACTACCACTCCAACATCATCAGAAGAGTGTGCCGCAGCACACTTCAGGCAGAAACACTCTCCATGGTGTCTGGCTATGACGAGGCAGAGCACATCCGGCACATCATGCACGGCATCCACGGCGGCATCCCCGACTCCACCAAGGCCATGGACAACTATGACGTGGTCATGTTCACAGACTGCCGCTCGTTGGAAGAGCACCTTCGACAGGCTGGACTTCACTCAGTGGGCGACAAGCGCCTAGCCACAGATCTCTGCAGCTTGAGGCAGGTGCTCTGGCGCAAGAAGGAAGAGGAGGTCGGAGACCCGCTCTACCTGGACGCGCCACCGGATGACGCCACGACCGCCGTAGTGTGGATTGAAACCAAGACTATGCTGGCAGACGGATTGACCAAGTCAATGCGATCTCCCCAGCTTCACCTCCTGATGGACGCTGGAGAAGTGTCCATAGACTGTGATAAGAGTCACAGCAAGAAGGCATCGCTGAAGGCTATGAGCGGAGATATGGTCTGGTCCCAGAAAGAATTTTAGGGGTGTGAAAGCAGACCATGTAACCGCTTGTATCCGGATGTGATGCGCCAGGGACCAGAAAGCGACTGCCGGCACCTGCTGGCTCAAGCCTGCTCACGCGAGCATAAAAGGTTCTTCTTGAGCACCAGTGCTGCGGCATCTTGTTTTTTTGAAATTCTTGCATGGGCGGGCTGCGTAGACGCAGGTTAGAGAAGCCATGGTTGCTTTGGGAGGAAACACCTAGAATTGTGGAATCGGCTCATGACAGAACTGGTGTCGGGTACGTCCATACCGTCCGGTCCTGGGCAGAGCTGGCCCCGCAAGTTGCCGTTTTCTGCCCTTTCCCCAAAGCGAATCAGCTTCGGAGGAAGCGAGGGCCCCTGGACTCCACCCAGACCTGGCGGTGTGATGCCCGTGGGTTTCAATGGAAATTTGGCATCCTCATCGCAGGTTGTTTCTGGAGAGGGCTCCCCCAACCGAACTCCTCAAGATGAAAATATATCCGGTAACCTTTGCGAGCCACCCCTTGAAGGCGCATGATCCCGCCTAATACCAAGCCGTCGCGACAGACACTCAATGTCGCCGATGATCTCAGTACCCTGCATACTGAGCTAAAGCCCCTCAAAACCCCTGGAGGACACCCGCTGGAACAATCAATGCACATTGTAGAGACTATCCCCACTAAGCTGACAGTCGCCCACACCGTTGCCGCTTACCAGGGGCAAATGAACATGGCCCCCCAGAAAAAAATTCAAAAGATGAGCTACGCGCTTTTTACTGCTGCCAGAGCGTGGGTCCTCTCCACACAGCACTTGCCTCTGGTGCTCCCAAACCCTGAACAGCCACGAAACTTAAAGCTTGTCGCATGAAGTTACATTGCTTCTGAGCTCCCAGGCTCCCAGCCAGCCCTCCCCGTCCGGACTGGCCAGAAGCTCCCAGCGACGCTTCGGTGGAGCGGCTTGGGTATGTGGTTCCGCTGGTGGAGACCCAGCAGGTGCCGCCATTGGGTGTGCGAGCTGTGCCACGAGCTGTGTGATGTGTAACTCAGGTCCTTGAGCGACTGCGAACCGTCATGGCGCGCTTTGCAGCTGAGGCGCCGGACCTTGACAGAGCCAGGAGCCCTTCATTGAAGCTTAAGTGGAAGCTACGACATGCTACGACTTTGAACACCTTAAAGTGAAACTCTGCAGCTTTGCAGGATGGACGAGCTGCCGGAGGCAACTTGGAAGTTTCTACGCAGCCGCGAAAGCCGAAAGGATGGCACCTCGGCCTCCGCAGCCTCTGCAGCCTCCGCAGCCGCACTGCGCAGGGCGCCGTGCTTGAAAAACCTCGCAAGCTTCCAATGGGCGGGCGTGAAACGCATCTTGGAGCTGGGCAGATGTTTGCTTGCTGATGAGATGGGCTGTGGCAAGACTGCGCAGGCCAGTCTTAGACACAGCCGTGTGAAACTCGTTTAGTAGTAACTGTTATAGCAAGGCCTTGGCATGTTTGGCGGCCTTCGACGCCTGGCCGGTGCTGATTTTGGTCCCTGCTTGCCTGCGGTTGGTTTGGGCCGAGGAGGTGGAGAAGTGGCTTTGCGGGCTGCTGCAGCCGCGGCACATTCACATCATCCACAGCTCCGACGACATGCTGCCGAATACAGACGATCTGGGCGAGATGAAAGTCTGCATCGTGTCCTACACCATGACAAGGTTGCTCTTCGAGAATTTGAAGCGTCCTTGGAAGGTGGCCATAGTCGATGAGTCACACAACTTGCGCAACGTCAGAAATGCAAGCAACGCAAGCAACGCAAGCAAGACGACGTCCAGAACCACTAAAGCTGTTCTGGAGCTGCTCCGGCCAGTACCACGGCTCTTGCTGCTCTCCGGCAGTCCATCGCCTAGCAGCTACTTGGACGTCTTCACGCAGGCCAACTTGTTGTGTCCAGGTCTTTTGGGGAGCTATGGAACCTTTGCAGCCGACTACGATGAGCCTTCTTTGTCAAATGCGGGCTATCTGGAGCCGGGCAGTTGCTGTAGAAGGCCCTGGCAGCTGAACCTTCTTTTGGAACAACTGATGGTGAGACGGAGAAAAAGTGAGGTCTTGGAGGAGCTCCCGGCCAAGCGCCGGCGACTTCTCCGGTTGCCTCTGTCGAACTCCTCCTGGAGAGACCTCTCCGACGACGAGCAAAAGGCCACGACCAACGCTGAACGCGTCGCTCTGCTGAAGTTGCAGGCAGCGGGCTCTTGGCTCAGAGAGAAGCTGGCGGAAGTTCTCCTTTCGAAAGAGGAAGGAAAAGGAAAAGGATTTGGAACGAAGGCAAAGGGAAAGGCGGTGGTCTTTGGCCATCACCTCCGTGTGCTGGACAAAGTTTGCCACATCGCCCACGGCTTCCATATCATTCGGATTGACTCTTGGGCAGGGCGTGGGTGTTGTTTAGCATGTCACTAGATGAGAAAGTCTGTGAAAATGTTTGGGAGAAGGCGAAGTAATTGCTGGAGGGCTAAGAAGAGGAGCCACATTGTCTGCTCCAACTCAGGATGGATCGACGCCGCCTGTAACCCGACAAGCTCTGATTGAAAAATTCCAAAGCGAGTGCGAAGGGCCCATGTTGGCGGTGATCGGCATCACGGCATGCGCTGTTGGCATCGATTTGTCAGCCGCCAGCTTTTGCGCCCCTTCCCCAGCATCTGAATGTAGCTTGCAAGCCACAAGCCTAAGACCCTTAACGTCTCTTGCCTGATCTCAAAAGGTCTTCGTGGAGCTCCCCGAGAGCCCAGCCTGGCTTCTGCAGGCCGAAGACCGTCTCCACCGCCGTAGCCAGCATCAGGCAAGGGGCGTCCACGGTGCATGCAGAGTTTGTTCAGCTGTTTGCTCAGCCGTGGCCGCCGTGGCCCAGGCAGTGGAGGTGCTTTTGCTCTGCGCCAGTCCTCAGCACAGCGACTCTGGGAACGTGATGCGATGCTGCGAGGCCTGCACCTCAGCCCTGCATAGCCCTGCAGCCCTGCAGCCTGGCAGGTGGATCGAAACCGCTGGGCCGTCTTGGCCCGCCGGGTCAACGAGCTCACGGCGCTCCAGGATGGCCCTGCAGCATGGCACAAGTGAAAGCGTGAAAAAAAGACTCTCTAAGCGTTCCTGCGCGGTTGAAGCGTATGCAGTTTGACTTCGCTTTTCCGAGGCAAGCCTACTGAGGGCGAGCCTGCCCCAAAGCGTGCCAGCTGCGGCTTCTGCGGCTTCTACAGCTTCAGTGACCCTCAGCAAAGGAGAAGTGGAAGCTGCGGAGTCGCCCAAGATTCACTTCGAATTCGAGGTGTCGCCCCACACGCTGCGGCTGCACCCCTTCGAAAACAAGCATCCGCTCGCCATGAGCTTGCGCTTGGATGCAATCAATGCGATGGACGGACACTGCTCAGGCAGTTCGGAGCAGAGGTTTAGGCAGAGCCTCTACCAGCAGCTATACCAGCAAGCACTCGACTTCCAGGCAGCTTGGAACCGTTTGACTCCGCTGCAACAAAAGATGGCTCGGGGAAGGTCGTACAAAGCAGAGGCAGGAAGCAAAGTGGCACACGCTAATCTCTACCCGCCACATGCATCTGATTGTCCTGCCCTGTATTTACGCAAGTTTCTGATGTATCCTACTACCCTCCCTGCACGTCAGTGCGGACAGGAGTTGAGAGTTGAGCACTTCAAGCTGACACCGTCTTTGACGGGGTCGACCTCTCGCTTCCTGCGTAAATCTGATTCTGCTGATTCCGAGGACAGAGAGGGCCCCCCAGAAATGGAGAAAGAGTTGCTGGGAGATGTTGATGGATTGATGGGGCCTTGCAGCAATTGCATAGTTTGTTCCTTCTGTCAGGAGTCAGAGGGTCTCTTCTGCAATGTCCAAGTTCGCTACCAGGGCCGCCTTAGTGGCAGAAGCGTGCAGTTTTTGCAGCCTGTGGCCCTCGTGCCTGCAATGCCTGCAAGTGATGCAAATCCTGCAAGCGAGCATGGTGAGCTCATTCAACCCTTCATGCTTTGTCTGGAGTGCCGAAAGCCCCTGCGACCAGTCCCGCAGCAGTCACAGCAGTTTTCTTTCGAGGGGCAAAGAAGGATCTCCGTGGGTGAGGTTTCTGAAAGCAGCCTATTCTGCAGCGGAGGCTGCCGAGGACGGTATTTCGGGAAACGCAATGGCACCGCCTTGCGGCGCCAGCTCTTCGCGCTGGAGCGTGGTGTCTGCCAGACCTGCGGCCTAGACTGCCATGGGCTCTACCAACAGCTGCGAAATTCCAAGGCCTGGCTCAAAGAGCTGGGGGCACTTGCAGCGAAGGCGGAGGCAGAGGCACAGAACGCGCACGGCCTTGTACACCTTGTACACCTTGTACACGGTGCACGGAGCGAACGGGGCGAACGGAGTAATGAACGGAGTCCCGAGTTGGCGCTGTTCGAGCATCTCAGCGGCCAAGCGCGCTCCTCTTCGGTTCGAGGACCTCGAGCAGTTCTTCACAAAACCCTTAGGGAAGGCGTCTTGTGGCAGGCGGACCACGTGGTGCCCGTTTGGCAAGGCGGCGGGGCCTGCGGCCTTGAGAATCTGCAGACCTTATGCGCGCGGTGCCACAGCCTCAAGACCGGAAAAGAGGCCATCAGAAGACGGGCTCTCAAAACTCGTTTCGTTTTGAAAGCACCAAGAACAAGGAAAGCCCTTGAGGGCTTTTGGCCAGCCGGGCGCTTGCGCAACATGCGCAGCTTCCAGAGCCTCCAGCCTTCCCCAGGCTCTCAGAGAATCGAGCTTTGAGCAAAACATGTCGCTGCTTTTGCACCTCATCATGCTGCATCATGCGTAGTAACGCCTCTCTTCCTCCTGTAAATCTTTTCTTGCTCCAGGCGGAGGCGTTTGCAGTTTTGTTTTGAATAAGGGGCCAGAGGCCACGGGAGGGTCGGCTAGCAGAAACAAAGCCACACACGCCTACGGCCTACGGTACAGAAGTGCTGTGCACCTTGCAGAAGGGTCGTGGTTCATGTAAGTGTTGAAATTGAGAAATTGTGTTATGTTTGTCAGTGCCGACGATATGTTTTTGCCTCAATGCCGCCGCCGGGCCTTGGCAAGCTCATTGCAGCGCTAGGCCCGTGCTTAAGCAAAAGCGCAAGCAATGAATGGAGAAGGTTTTGAAGCATGTTTGCGCAGGCAAAGAGCATTTGGAGGCGGGCTGGTGGGCTACTGGCTTCCTCTCTTCTTTGTCTTGCATGTTCAGAGAGGCTGCATTGCAAGGACAGGCCTGCTGAGCTCCATGCAGATGCACTTGGGGTCCAAAGCCCAAAAGCCTGTGGTTTTACTGCCAAGAAAGGGTGGAGATTGTCTCAGATTGAGGTACCGCGGGGGCCATGCAGGATGCACCTTGGCAGAGCAAGAGAGCAGCAGAGTTAGCTCAGTTAGCTCAGCTTCTGCTCAGGTGCAGAGCTTGTCCGGGTTTCCAGGGCCTGGGCCTCTTCTGGCCCGGAGCCCGAGCGCTCTGTTCAGAGCCCTTTTCTGGGGAGCTTGCGGCTTAAGCATGATTCTAAAAAGCTGCTTCTTTTTTCCCTTTTTCTAAACACGTCAAGGCCACAAGGAGAGGAACTTGTACCCAACTGGAGCAGGCGGCGAAAGCTTGCCAAAGCGAATGAATCCTGAACTCTGCTTGAGGACTCCAGCCCGGTGCCTGCGATGCAACTGACTGTGTCCCAGAAGCTGTTCCTTCTTGTTTAATTTTCGCACGGTTCCGTTTGCTCGTGAAGGCCCTAGCCACCAGCACCAAAGTTTGGAGACCTGGCACGCGCCTTATAAGGCTCCTTGGATGTCTTTGCGAACCTTGAGCCAGGCTCAGTGAAGTAAAGCAACGAGTGCTGCGGGTCCGAGCATTGGTTGGGGCCTTGCAACATCTGGCAACGAAAAAATGTTCAGCTACGCCACAGCTACGCGGCTACGCTTGTCACTCCCAGTCTGAGGTGATAAGCTGGAGGCCATGTCCGTACCGGCCTGAGGAACAGCCGAAAGAGCTCGCCAAGATTTATTTCACAAGAGGCTGAATCTTCGACTGCCTGTGGCCAAGAGCTGAGAAAGAGTGAGCGAGTGAGCGAGTTCGCTTCAAAAGGAGAAAGAAGAGAGAAAACGAGAGGGGAAGGAGAGTCTGAGAAGGAAGAGGTTTTGCGGCCTTCGTTCAGGCGGCCCCAAGCTGGAGCAGCAGCGAAGCGGCGCTGTACGTGCCCGGCACCTTTTCAGGGACCACCCTTTTTTGAGGGCAAAAGAAGGCATTAACGGGGAAGCTGCTAAGCTAAAGACCTCCCAAGGCTGACGGACGGAGTCTTCGACCCGCGCCGGGTCATCCACTCAGCATCCACTCCAGCCACTCAGCCCTCCTGTTGAGACACGGTCTCCCGTTTTCCCTTTGTCACCGGTTTTGCTGCCCACTTGCTCCCGAGTGCACCAGGACCGAGCGGGACCGTACCGTCCAGCTTCTTGCCTGAGAGATTTAAGTTCCTTCTGTTACATCTTCCAGGGAAAGGGGGTGATCTGTGTCTTTTTTAACATTATCCGTGTCTTTTATTTTTGCGTTATCTGTGTCTCTTTTCTGTGCGTTATCCTAAACCCTTGGCCCTAAAAGCCCTAAGCACAAAAAAAACTAAAGCCTAAAAACCCTCAACCCTAAAAGCCTTAAACCCTAAACACCTTAAGGCCTAAGAAACCCTAAGCCCTAAACCTTAAAGCCCTACTCCACCCCAAACCCTAGAGACCTGAAACCCTCAAAATCCAAAACCGCAAAAAACTCTAAGCCCTAAAATCCCTAAACCCTTAAAACCCCATACACCCAAATCCTAAAAACCTTAAGCCCTGAACCCTCAAGCGTAAAGACCCTAAACCCAAAAAAATCGAAACCTTACTAGCCTAAAAACCCAAACCTAAAAACCCTGAACTCTACAAACCCTGAACCCTCAAATGTGAACAGATGCACAGTATGAACATGGTTCTGCGCACGACGTGCCAGACTATGTAGTCTTTTGTGTATGGCCTACGGCCTGCACCGCAAACTGCGGTGCATTGACAAGTCCTCACATGTGTCCACTTATGTTTGGCTCAAGTACTAAGCAATCGTGGTAGTGTATTCATGACCAACTGCTAGACGCACTGCAGACCCTGCTCGGAGCGTTCGTACCGATCGCTAGTGGCAAAAGGTGTGGTGCGCTGCTGGGATAACCGGGACAGGGAAACCTAAGGGCGATTCTACCTGTACGCATGAAAACCATAACCTTTCTAAACCTTACAACCCTAAAGCTCTTAACCCTACACCCTAAAAAAACCTAAACCCCAAAAACCCTAAACACTGAACCCTAAAAGCTGAAACCCTTAAAATCCAAAATCCCTGAAGCCCAAGCCCTAAAACCCTAAACCCTAAAAACCCTAAACCTATAAACCCCACAAACCCTTATCCCTAAAAACCGTAAGCCCTAAAAACCCTGAGCTCTAAAAACATCAAAAACCCTAAGCCCTCAACCCTTAAAACTTTAAACAATAAAAACCCCAGACCCTAAAATCCCAAAACCCTAAACCCTGAACACCCTGAACCCCAAAAGCCCTAAACCCTAAAGAACCTAAAACCCTCAAACCCTAAAAACCCTAAACACTTAACCCCAAATACACAGCAGGCCGAAGGGCTCTGCATGGTGGAGCGCCCAAGACCAGAAAGAATTGAAGTCTGATGTGCAGCAGTATGCAGCAAGAAGCTCGACTATGGCAGCGCGGATCCTTTTCCACTAAGCCTTGACCTGGAAGTTGCTGCGAGCGGGTGCTTTTGTACAGCGCGAGCAGCGTCCAGTCCTAGGACCTGCATGCCCCCGGCATACCCTCAGTATTAGCATTTTCTAATGGGACCATGTAAGCTCTGGCCTTGATGGGAATGCGGTGAACTCCCCTGGTGTGGCTGTGGGATGCAGTGAAGAGGCAGGTGGAGTGGCTGATACCGCCACCGAGGTTGAGGTCATTGAGGATGACAATGAAGCGGGTGAAAAGGGCTCCTACCAAGGTGACGTCTGAGAGTGGGTCTGAAAAGGCATTTTGCCTGTTACGGAGTAAGAACCTCCCCTAGCCGAGGCTTGCACCCAGAAAAGGCGTGTGAAGGCGTGTTTTAAAAAAGAAAAAAACCTACACCTCAAAAACCCTAACACCCTTAAACCTTCAAAACCCTAAAACCCCTTGACCCAAAACCCGTAAACCCTAAACGCCCTGAAGACTTCAAACACCCTACACCCTGGAAAAGCATTCAAAACCTGAAACCCTAAATCACCAAAAGCCCTAAACCCAAAAACCCTAAATCCCCTGAACCCTAACAACGCCAATAGCCAAAAAACGCTTTAACAAATGCTGCAATTTGCAGTCTTGGTAGTTTTTCAAAAGCACAAATGTTGTATTTTGCAATGTTGGAGGCCCTGTCAAAAATCCCAAATGCAATTCTGCAGTGTTCGTAGCCTTTTCAAGAGCCGTTAATCTTGTAATCTGCCATATTTTCAGCTCAGCCTTGCAAGAGCTCCAAATGCTGCATTTTGCAGTATTCCTGGGACAAAAAAAAAACAACCTACAAAAAAACATAAACAAAAAATAGAAAAACATAAAATAATTTTCGATCCGTAGAATTCGGAGAAGCTTTGCAAGATAACTCTGAAAGAGGCGGCAACCGGAAAAAGACGCAGATAACCCATGCAGATAACCCACTGAGACACCAGAATCGTGGCAGGCGCCAGGAAACCGCGTGAAAAAAGATGCAGATAGCCCAGATAGCCAACAAAAAACGCAGATAACCAAAAAAAGACGCAGATAACCAGACGCGGATAACTTTTTTTCCTTTTCCAGGATCTTGCAGGCTCTTAAGCTCCAGACTCCACCGCCTTGTTAGGTCTCCACTACAGAGGCGGAGCTGATCTCAGTGGTTGCCCCAACCAGCTTCGTGCGCCACTGCTTCCACCCTTTGCTCTACGAGCCGCTCAAACAGCAGTCAAGCAGTTGCTGTTAGAAGAAGGAGTTGAAGAAAATGGGTACACTGAAATAGGAGGCTTCAGGCTTCGAATTTCCAAAGCAAAAGTGTCTGAGGTGTTTCTTTCGCCAAGACTATGAACCCAAGCAGCTGGTCACTTTGCCTTAAAGCCTTGAACCTTTTTCTTCTTCCAATTCCACCATTCCATATCAGGTGGTGGTGGACACCGGGCCACGTGCCTCCAACTTCATGCAGGTTCAATGATATGTCAATGATTTGTCAGTAAGTCGATGAAGTGATGAAGTCGATGAAGTCGATGAATCGAACAGATCCGTGCAGGCAATGGCAAGTCGCTTGCTGAGCGCGCCGCGTGAAGCAAAAGTCACCAGACAGGCTTTCTTCTTGAGGTAAGGATCCGCGCGTCATCTACCGACATTACCAAGTCGCAGATTCCAGAATGGCCCGGAAACCCAGCCCAGCAGCTGACACAGCAGGCATAATTAGCTTCTGTGCCAGGATATGCCGGAGGGTTGGAAAGAAGGCAACGCGTGCCGGCAACAAGAATCTAGCTCGTTCCCCTGGAAGTGCCCATGCAGGATCTCCTGTAAGCTTCAGCATCGGCGACCAAGACGTTTGGGCCGAGTTTGGCATAGAGGTGAGACAGAAGTTCTCGTCCGTGGCGACTTCATGTCGAGAGTCGAGAGGCTCCTGCCTCCTGGTCACTCGGGTTGAAGAGGAACGTTGCCATTCAGCTCGCCCAAGGTTCGTTCATGTTCCATGAGTGAAGCCATTTTCGAGTCGCTGTTTCCAGTCCAGGCGAGGTGGTGGCCCACTTCGACGACGATGACCTCTATGCCAGCGGGTACCTGTCGTGGATGCACCATCGCCTCGAGAAGGCAAAACGTCAAAAAGAAACGCTTGGAGAGCTTCGGCGCCTGGCTTCAGAGCTTTGAGGTGCGGAAGAAGGCGGAGAAGGACCTCTGCACCTCCACAAAAAAGGAATCCAGGCAGCAGCATGACCCCAAGCCTTCTTTTCGGCTTTTCATTCATGTCAGGTTGTGCCCAGTCGCGATTACGCTCAGGGAATGGCCATGGTCTCAGAAAAGTGCGGGGAAAGAAGCGGACGCATGAAGACTGTCAGGCACTTACTGGATTTGTCCGCCCGCAGCCCAGCGGCACCGTACTGGCACCATACGTCGCGTCGCAACAGAAGCAACTGGGGAGGACATGACCTTTGGCTTCATGGATGTGGAGAAGGACCCCTTGGCTGCTGCCTCAGCTTCTTTAAAGCTTTGCTTTAGCTCTGCTTTTGCGGATTTCCAGATTCCACGAGATCAGCGTCACGGCTGGCTCTACGGCTGGGGTCACCGGGCTCGGAGAATTCTGCTTCGAACTCCGAACTCTGTGTTTGGTCTTGTTCTCTTGGCTTTGTCTCAGGTTTCAGCTACATGTTCACGAAGAGCTGCTGGGATTTGGTGCCGGTGCCGGACGTGGAGTGGTCCGAGGAGAAAGTGGTTCAAAGCCTGGGTGGCCAGGCAAAGCAAAAACAGAAAAAGATATGCAGCTTCAGGCAAGTCTTACAGTTTGTTCTTTGGTGTTTCAGCTGAGTTACACTCTTCGCCTTCGCCTTTTCGGGTTTTGCAGGACATCAGCTTTTATGAGGATCTGCGGCGCCTGAAGGCTCCTGCAAGCTCCAGTGATGTGGGGGGTGAAGGGGGGGGTTGTGCAAAGAACCCTTGGTCTACGTCTCTTCTTTGGCGGCTTTTTTTTTAAAGAATGAATCCAAAAACTGCTGGCGGAAGGCCGAGCAGAGGCACATCTTGTCATAGTACTTAACAAGATGCACCAAGCTCAGGCCTTGAAGAGTGCTGCCTTTGGCCATTTAAACATCTCCAAAATCCCCAAAATGCGTCTAGAAGGCCGTCTGAAATGCATTTTGCGGGTCCCCAATTGTCAGGCTTCCCAGAGTGCTGCCTTTCGCCATTGAAATCTCAAAAATGCGTTTAGAGGGCTGTCAAAAACGCATTTTGAAGGTTCCCCAATTCTTGGGTCTCTACGAGTGCTACTTGAACACTTCCCAAATCCCAAACATAGATTTAGAGGGCCGTCCAAAACAGGTTCCCCAATTGTCAGGCCTCACAAAGTGCTAGATTTGGCCTTTCAAACACTTGCCCCATCCTGAAAATGCGCTCAGAGTGCTGTCTACAACGCATTTTGAAGGTTCCCCAATTCTGAGGCCTGCCAAAGTGCTAGATTCTGCCATTTAAAACATTTCCCAATCACCAAAACACGTTTAAAAGGCTGTCTAAAACGCATTTTGAAGGTTCTCCAGTTGTCAGGCCCTTCAAAGGCTGTGAATAGGGGAGGCTTGCCCAGGGGCGTCGGCGGAAGATCCGCAGAAGTCTCCGTTGTCCCTGTATTGTGTTGCGCCCAATGCTGGCTTCCGCATAACAACTTGAACTAAAAGCCACTCCAGATGCATGTGCTTATCTTGCAGGCTTCCCAAAATCCACAGACCGGATCTTTTTGTTTGAGGGCTGATTCGGAGGCAATCAGCCATGATGAAACGCATGTTGAGGGTTCGCAGGTTTTCAAGCCCCAACCCCACAACATGCATTTTGAGAGCTTCTTGAAACGCATTCTAAAGGTTTTTGAAGGCTTGCAGGTTTTGAGGCCCCGGAGCCCCACAATCCTCATCGAAAAAATCATGGCTTGGGGGGAGGCCCGCCCAGGTGCGCTGGCAGCGCGGAAGTGCACGTGTTCCTTGCATTCTTGGGGCCAGTCGTGGCCTCTACCGTGCTTAACCTTTCCCTTCAAGGTGAACCAATCAACACCAGACCCGTTCACCCATTTGAGGGCTTCCCGAACCGCATTTGCACCACCCGACCCCGAACCCTCAAAACGCGCGTAAAGGGCTATTTAAACGCATTTCGAGGGTTCACAGGTTTTCAAGCCCCAGCCCCCCAAAATGCGTTTCGAGGGCTTCCTGAAACGCATTGTGAAGGTTTACAAGTTTTCAGGACAAGACCCCCCAAAATGCGTTTAGAGGGCTTCCTGAAACGCATTTGGGGGGTTCACAAGTTCTCAGACCCCCAACCGCCAAATCGCGTTTGAGAGCGCACACGTTTTCAGGCCCCGACCCCTGAATGCGTTTAGATTAGACGGCTGTAGAAGACGCATTTTGCCCCGCATTCTCTGCGGGGTTCTAGTTTTTACTGCGGCGTCGCCCGCCGACGTCTGTGTGCTCTTCCGTCGCGCAAACATTTGGGACGCGCTCATGTTGGCTCAAAAAGCGCGCTCTCGTTCAAGACATCTTGAAAAAATCGCCGTTTTTTTTCGAATTTCGATAAAAAAAAAATATACAAGGCCTCGCCTTTAAAGTGCTCTACGGAGGGGGGGTCGTTACCGAACCGGCCGGGCTCGTTTTCGTCTAAAAATCGCGCTCTGGGTCGAAACATCCTCAAAAAATCTACGTTTCTTATCGATTTTTGATCAAAAAACTACAAGGCCTCGCCTTTGAAGAGAATCGCGCTCCCGCGCAAGACATCCTCAACATTTCGCGCTTGTCGGACTTTATAAACATTCAAAAATCGTGCTCCCGCGCGAGACATTTTTGACGTTTTGATCATGTTCGTATCTTCAAAATCGCGCTCTGCCTCGAGACATCCTCGAAATTTCGTCGATTGATCCTCATCAAAATCAACCAAAATTGCGCTCCCGTGCGGAGCATTCGCTGGCCTAGCATCATCCGTGCTCCACTGATCCGTGGAATGATGGCCTGGAGGAGCTATGATCAATCTGGAGGTGTAGTGTCCCGCGTTGGGTGTGGGGCCAGCATGCCAAATGACCGAGAGTATGCGATACTGTGTGTTGGTTGGAACATTGCAAAGCGTCACCATCAAAAGCCGGTATCTGAACGTGTGGCTCCATTTTCACCGGAGTGGTGGCCTTGCATGTGGCGTCATTGCTTCTGTAAAATGTGGACAATCTGATTATGAGCAGGGTAGGCAGGGTACTGAGTATGCCAGTTGAGAATAAGGCCTTGCAGGCTGTGGGGTTCAGGAGATTGAGGCAGGTCAATATTAGGGGCAACGTTGGTGGTGGAATGATGTCTTATCTCAATTAAGTTCTGATTTTCAATCCTCGCCGCCCATCTGCCTGCGCCGGTTGATGTAATCGTCTCCAACCTGCAAGAATGCTTGTCCTTGACGCGATTGCACGCGCATGTGCTGGCCTGTGCAGTTGCAAAACATCCCGCCATGCCTGGATTTTTGTGCCATATGCCATCGTGTTCCGAACAGCCTATGCATGTCGCGGCGTGGATCCATGCAAGCACAACCGAGCTCAAATAACAAGTATTGGTACTATTAAGGAGCTTTGATTGGACGACCCGCTAATCAATTTCTGGATGAGCTCTGCTGCCAGGGGTTGGCGGAGGCTGTCTCTGCGCAGCTGAACACCTATCAAGTGTAGTGCCGAGCATCCTGACAGTTTCTCTAACGTGCTCCAAACCGTGCTGCAATCCTCTGTCCTTCCTGATAACTCTAGTTGGAATGCTGTCACTCTGTCTGTAGACTCCTTGCAAGCTCTGTTGGCGTGAAAGATTCACCATGTATGGAGTGGCGAGGAGCGGAATGGCTTGGTTCAGTGCGTGGGTGCTCACTGGGGCCCTTGCACTGTCCACCGGTAGGGCGCCCAAAGTTGGCGACCACACCTGGTAACCTGGTATTGCCATCCGTTCTCTGCTAGCCATCCCTGCATTTTTGCCCTCTCCAGCAGTGGGTCCTTCACATCTTGAAGCATCTTGAGTAGGTGCTCCATGAGGCACATGATCAGTACGCTCCTGAGGGGCCGTTCGCGGCTCCCTTCTGCTCAGGTCTGACTTATCTTGAAAAGCAGTTGCAAGGTGCTGTGGGGCCCTGGCTGAACAAAGAGCACCCATGATGTGTCCTGCCTCAGGACCTTGATGGCTTTCTGCTGAAGTGGAGGTCTAGGGCTTCTGCGGTCTTCCCCTTCGGCTGCCTTGAGAAGAAGTGAGGAGCGTCGGGGCTGGTGACCTCTTCCCTTGCCGTTCTCCAGCTTCTGCGCCTTCGTCTCTCGAGTGGTCTGGTTCTCCGAGTCCAGTGCCAGGGCTTCCGCATGCTCCTTCAGCAAAGGTCTGAAGCAATCCATCAGCTCCACGTCCATTCCTGAGGTTCAGAAGATGCATCACGCACAGTTGCCAGAGGACCGTACACTTAGAGGGGTGCTGACGAGGTACTTTGGTCTTGGCAATGCAGTGCACACAAGGCGACCCTGGAGTGTTAAATCTTGAGCAGAGATTGCTGGCAGTTTGGGGATTTTGCTTGTGGGCCTTAGACATGTATGTGTATCAGCATCGAACGAAGTTCTGTCAAGATAGGTAACGCCGCACGCGGGGCACGCCACCCCTGTGGTGTGTGTTGGTATTTGCCCAAGGGGGTCATCCTGAAGGACGACTTTAACTTCCTGATGTGTCCTGTGGGACATGTGTACGGGGTCACCAACCACAAGACGGATCTGTTTCAAGGATTCTTGGGTACATTTCCTAGCCCCTTCAAATCCTTGACACGTGAGCCCACGAGCCGTGAGTCTGTATGTCGCCGCAGTGTGGGCGTATGATTGCCATATACTGAGGCGGTGGCTTTTACTTAGGGAGCGTCTGCGCAGCACTCTACCCAATCTCCAGAAATTGGCAATTCCAATCTACATTCGATGTTGGAGTGTTTGATCCTCGAACGGTTCATAGCTAGCCACAGCGCCAAGGTACACAAATTTTTCAACCAGTGGAAAATCAATATTATTGATTTTCCAATTATAATCTCCTGTGCGTAAACAAATCTGAGCACCCTGCCTTTGTGCGTTTTGATCACATACCTGCGCTTTATGCTTTCAGCTCCTGTACCCCTGCACGCACGCAAGTATGGCTTTGGATTTGGGATGGCTGATGGACATACCTAGGCTGCTGAGAATGCGGAACAAAGCTCCAATGTGGCTTAGCTTGGTTTCGAGCTGATGGAGTGTGGAGAGCTTTGTGGAGCAGTGGTAGTCGTCTGCAAAAATGGAGAGCAGTTCATTGGCCGCATCAACTCCAATGCATTCAGCAAGTCTGGTGCTGATCAGATGTGAGTATATAAGCCACAACATCGGTCCGCTGTTGTGGCCGCAAGGTCAGCACACAGTCGCCAGATAGCGCTTGGTGGGTGTCCGGGCGGGATAGCCTTGCGCAGAGGTGCTTTGAGAAGGTTTTGCTCAAGCTGTTGCTCATCCACAAGAACGGTGACTGGCGTACTTAATCTTGGTCGGGTCCAGGTATATCGTTGAGGGGTGATATTGCCATTTGTCGCGGGATGTGAATTTGCCAGCAAAATGCTCACAGAATAGAACGGCTGCCTGGGATCTACTGAGCAGAGTACCTCCCTGTCCTTTGAGTTGCGTTCTTTTTCAAGGAGCTTTGGGGGCAAGGCTGCGTACAATCCTATAGACTCCACGTAGGTTGTGTTTGCCAGCAGCGTTCTGAGCTTCCCTCATTCTATCCTGCTGGCATCGCTGCTTATGTTCTTTATATTGTCGTATGTCGCTGCATCATGGCTCTGATCCCCGCCTTCGTTGTGGTGCGATCGACCTGCATCCACTGCTTCCACATGTTTGTTATACCAATGGCAAGGAGAATGGGGTTCCGGTACTTCTCCCTCTTTATCTTGCTGATCGGGAAAATTTCCGGGGCAATATCAGCGATCTGTTTAGACATCCCGCGGAGGTCTTGTACGGTTTCATATCCCTGCAGCTGTTCCTGAAGACGCTCTCTAAAGCTCCTCGATGAGGTTTTGGTTGTCAGCCCAATTCGGGTGCTATGCGCACGCGATAATCTTTTCCCTGTCAATTTGGTTGCCTATCTCGGTTTGCTTGTGTTGGAGTGCGATCTTCTCGCGAATTGACGCTGCAATGGGGACATGATATCCACCCAAGTGCCTCCATGCTCCCAGGGGGCAGTCTTTTACTGGGGCCGAGAGACGTGCCTGCTGATTGGCGTCATGTTGCCTGACCATTATATAATCCAGCTCGGCTTCATGCGTCCCGAAGCGAAAAGTGTGGGAGGCCTTGTTCCTTGAATACCGCGAATTCAGAATGGTCATATGATTGACCTGAACCTGCAGCATCTCGTTCATGTCAGGGGCTCGATCCTTACAGAGCCTGCCTGTGGCTGGTCCGATATATGGGGGATTCGGGATAACCTGTGTGTTCATGTCCCCACTCACGTTGTGGAACCTTCCTGGTGCATGAATCAAGCGCTTGCCAAAAGGTGTGCCTTTTGTGTGTCAGCTTGTGATCTTTGAGATTCCAGGCATGCTGGTACGCAATTATCATGCTAATATACTGCTGTCCTATGGGAAAGCGCACTCTCATGATCCTACCGGGTATAACAGTTTCATATTTGATGTCTTCAGGATTGGTGAGGCTCTTCCTAATCCAAACAATAGCGCCGGCATGTTTCTGTTTGGGGTCGGCGGAGCCGAGGCAAACCCAGTTAAGGAGTGGTGTATTCAGCGTCATGCCCCCATCTGGATTCCTCTATAAGCGCGATGATATAGTGGGATTCGTCCAGAAAATGGAGGAGTTCTTCATAGAGCCCACCTCCAAGGCCACCTGCGTCGTAGCAGAAGACATGCAATCCGTTCGGTTGCTTTCTCATGCGGGGGCCGGTTAACGGCTTCCTCCTGTCCTGCTGGTTGGGGGGTGTATGCTTGGGATCAGCTTGCATGATCCTGCCTTTGTACGTGATATGTCCATATTTTTGAGCTCTTCTGCATGCTCTTTTGTACGAGCGCTTGACAGTACGACTGAATGTTGATAGTTGACTCACACCATGAGGCCTGGCCATCAATGTCGTCAAAACGAAGTTGCCTAGCCAAAATTGGGCCTGGGACAGCTTCGTGTGTTCTTAAAATAGGCTGCAGCTTTGCCACGCATGCGGGGTGTTGTTTTAAGTATGTGGGGGGATAGTGGCTTCATCTTTCAGGCCTTCTCACATTATGATAACATCCCACCTGTAGAGCTCTTGCAATGGATGGACGAAGGCACGTGATGACATGTGCACTCATCATGTTTGCTGCTGCATTAACTGGCTGGCAACACGTGACATGCACTTGATCTGCAACTTCCTGGTATCTATGTGTGCTGGCTTGGCGACGGCTTCTCTTCGTTGACTTCTTACGATATGGGGCCGATCTTTTGATACGTCTGGGCTTGTTGGGGGGTCTACAGCATTTGATTTTCCACCTGCTTATGCTCGGGCACCCTCTTTAATGGCTTATTCAGGATCTGGGATATCAACCTTTGGGGACAGAATTCGTAATGTTTTTAAGGTTTGAAAAGAAAAACATGTTTTGAATCGTAAATAGTCTTCGTCAGATAAGTTAAAGCTTAAGGGGCCCTAATTCCTAAAACCTTACTATTTGCTTTGAAGCCCTGAGCAGCCCAAAGCTTAGCTTAAGGGTACCTGGATTTCCAAAATCTCAAGGCTCCCAATCCAGAGAGCCAATTAAGCTCAATTATTTGGTCTGCCTAGCCTTGAACATCTTCCCAAGACCTTAGTCCATTGGAAAAAGGCATCCTTTATACTGGAAATGTTTCGGTGCCCTCTTTAATGCCGAGCCGTCCTGGCAGGGGTGCTGATATAAAGCCCAGCCTCAACAGCTCTGATGCTTGGAGGCCTGGATTCTAAAATCTTAAGGATCCAAATCCAAAGAGCCAGTTAAGCTCAATTACTTGGCTTGCCTAGCCTCAAACATGTTCCCAAGACTTTTTAGTCCATTGGAAAAAGGGGTCCTGTGTGGTGGAAATGTTTCGGTGCCCTCTTTAATGTCCAACCGTCCTGGCAGGGGTGCTGATATAAGGTCAGGCCTCAAAACCTTGAAGATACGCAGACACCAATATATAATATCAATATTACTACAAAATCCTA